CAATCATCGGCTCACTTGTCGGCCATAGATGACCTTGACATTCAATTGACCAGAGCAGATCCACACAAACTGATTGTCTATGATACAAGCTATGATACCACGTGTCTTTCAGTGTCAGTCAAACGGTAATATCGACCCTGTATGAAATGACGTCGTCATATGAGCGAAATATTCTCAAGTACGACGTAAAACCCAATTTCACCACACCTCACCTCACCTCACCTCACCTCACCTCACCTGTATGAAATGAAATTGTGTACATTTGCTGTAGAATTGAATACTCTATTGAAAGATGTTCATTTATATATGCATTTTCTTTTCTTTTCAATCTTGGTCAAACACACTGTATACTTTCTTTTGAGCACTGGTTTATATGGATGACAGTCTCAAAAGTTAGTCCCGTTCAAAGATGATTGAATACCAAGGCCATCTCTACCATGTGAAAGCAGCTGTAGCTCTTTGGAATTTGCAACGGTAATTACTAAGGATCAAAACAAAGCAAAACTTAACACAGTACTACAGTGAGTTCCAGTGCTACGTGAGGAAGGGCAGATGTTATGTGTCATTTGGAGGCAAGGATGTAAAATCTATATATTTCACAATGGTGTAATAGCGGTTGATTTTCTGTTCTTTAACCAGGAAGAAATACAAGGACAATACATCATGACGAAGCTGCAGCGGAAGATGGTGCTTAGCCCTAATGTCTGTGTCCAGTTTGGAGACAATGGACCAGCAATCGAAGTACAGGAAGCCGTCTTCCTGACAGGTCGTCACTGACGGGAACACAGATTAGTTTATTTGCTATTTCGGTCCAATGAATATATATGTTTTGTTTACTGATCTCTAAATGAACTAATAATGTTATCTTCCACGGTTTCGAGTAGACCCAGTAAATGATGTAAAGAAATGATTATACAAATTTAAATAACAGACAAAAGGATCCATAAGTATTTAGAGGGTAGGGTTGGAAAACCCTGATTTTTTCAAAACGCCATCATTCACATAGTGAGTGAGTTATCTAACGATCATGAACTGAATCACAATTGTTATGGTGGTCAAAAGCTATGCCTTTTCACTGAATGGTGGAATGGTATGTTGATGTGTATACTGTCTGTTGGTGTGTTGAGAGGTTGTGACGGTTCACATGTCTGGAGGTCTGTTTACGTGTGTAGAGGTCTGTTCATATGACGAGGGGTCTGTTTGCTTGTATATAGGTCTGTTATCGTGTCGAGGGCCCTGTTTACGTGTATAGAGGTCTGTTCATGTGTCGAGGGCCCTGTTTACGTGTGTAGAGGTCTGTTCATGTGTCTAGAGGCTTGGTCTGCTCCTGTGTCCTCAGTCTTTTCATTGTTTAGAGCCCTATCCACGTTTCTACATGACTATACAGAGGTCTTGATCGAGGTTTGTTTACATGGCTTGAGGTCTGTTCCTGTGTCTTAAAGTATGTTCAAGGTAGCCTAGTGGTTAAAGCGTTCGCTCGTCACGACGAAGACCCGAGTTCGATTCCCCACGTGGGTTCAAAGTGAGACGAGAAGCCTGAGTGAGTTTTCTACGGTGTACCAAAGTGCCGTGATATTTCTGCTGTACCCCGCCGTGATATTGCTGGAATATGGCTAAAAGCGGCGTAAAACTAAATTCACGCACTCACTAAAGTATGTTCACGCGCCTACAAGTCTGTTGACAGGCTGGAGCTCATTCGTCACCACTCGCCCCTTTCCGTAACCTCGCTATTCGGCTTGTTCCGGAATAACACGAGTTGGTCACGAATGGGCTGGAGCTCTGTTCAAGTGTCATTAGGTCTGTTCACCTGTCTATCTATCTTGAAACGTGCCAAAATCTGAGAACACATCTGTATGTCTGTCCTCATCTATATCTGTTCCCGCTCCTATTGTGAGGCAAGAGTGTAAGAGGAAATCTTTCAAGAAATTCCTGCTGTCGATCCTTCATGTTTGTTCAAATATAAATCACATGTTTTAACACAAATTGACAAAACGTGTTAAATTTTCGACTATATATTGGTGACATTAGTGACCCAATCATCAAATTAAGATAAACCGAGCGAGCAACCTGCTTCTAACAGCGCTTAGAATTATAGCTCAAAGATCACACGGAACTCGAATCACCGTCACACGGCTTAATCTCCTACTAACATGATACCTCGTGCAGGAAGGAAGTACTGATATTGCATGAAGTCACGATACTCATTGAAACACCTGGGTCAGCTTAGTATCTTGGCATTTCAATTTATTTTAAAACAAAACAACAACGAATGGCCCTAGAAGGCTTTCGTAGAAAATTCCATTTTTCAGATCAGTAGTTTTCCACCATGGTGTATTCACCCGAGGCCCATTTCTGTTGTCCCCCGCCGGGATATTGCTGGAATATTGCTAAAAGCGGCGTAAAACAATACTCACTCACTCACTCTCTATTCACTCGAGGAGGCATGCTGCTTAGAGGAGAGTTTCAGGGAGTTCTGCAACACACTTCTCCCCATCATACCCAGACCAAACCATGAAGATCCTGGTTAGAATTGATCTTCAGTAACCCATGCTTGTCGTAAGAGGCGACTAACGGGATTGGGTTGTCAGACTCGCTGACTTGGTTGACACATGTCATCGTATACCAATCGCGTAGAACGATGCTCATGCTGTTGATCACTGGATTGTCTAGTCCAGACTCGATTATTTACAGACCGCCGCCATAAAGCTGGACTATTGCTGAGTGCGGCGTTCAGCAACAACCATGCAATGAAATTACAGATTGTGAATATTGCACGTATTGGCCTCTGGACGTCGACTTCTGTCATTTGTCAGCAAGTTTTGCAGACTGCTCATCACTAGTTCAAACACATACAATGAATGGAAGCAAGTATTGCACGATTCGGTGCCAAGTTATGTGTAGATGCCAACACCGTTATCATGCAAGTGGTAGCATCTATACCGAAACTAAGTCCCCATGGTCCCTAGTATGCTGATATACCTTCAGTTGTTGGCAATCTATAGCCTGGTTTTATATTGTATTGTCGTCTATAGTTAAATGTTTTAGATTTGGTTACTAGTTTTAAATTTCTACCTGTGATAATCTAGTTGTTTTACTGTCCTTCGTTGACAGGTTTTTATAATTGTCCCCTGCCGCAATGCGGAACGGGGACTATGTATTCAGCGGCGTCCGTACGTACGTCCCGATTCTTGTTAACGCGATATCTCATGAACTGTTGTACCCAATGTCTTCAAATTTGGTGACAGCCTACATTAGGGGATTACGCAGACACCAGCCGATTTGGGTGACCTTGACCTTTTGTCAAGGTCACCACGACACTGACCACTTTTCAAACTGTTGTTAACATGATATCTCATGGACTGTTGTACCCAGCGTCTTCAAATTTGGTGACAGCCTACATTGGGGGATTACGCAGACACCAGTTTATTTGGGTGACCTTGACCTTATCTTCAAGGTCACCATGACACTTTGCACGCTTTTAACTCTTGTTAATGCGATATTTCATGGACTGTTGTGCCCAATGTCTTCAAATTTAGTGACAACCTACATTGGGGGATTTCACAGACACCAGTTTATTTAGGTGACGATGACCTTATTTTCAAGGTCACCGCGACACTTTGAACACTTTTACAAACTCTTGTTAGCGTGATATCTTATGAACTGTTGTACCCAATGTCTTGAAATTTGGTGACAGCCTACATTAGGGGATTTAACAGACACCAGTTTATTTAGGTGACCTTGACCTTATCTTCAACGTCACCACGACACTTTGAACACTTTTCAAACTCTTGTTAACACGATATCTCATGAAATGTTGTACCCAATGTCTTCAAATTTGGTGACAGCATACATTGGAGTATTACACAGACACCAGTTTATTTGGGTGACCTTGACCTTATCTTCAAGGTCACCGCGATACTTTGACCGCTTTTAAAGCGGATATATCATAAAACATTGCACCCAATGTTTCAAGTATGTTGACAGCCTACATTGGGTGATTATGCAGACACCAGTAATTTCAGGCATCTTGTATGTGACCCAAAAATAAAAAGTAGTAGGGGCCGGGGACATTGCCATATCAGTGGCAAACACTTGTTTACCTTTAATATATATTAGTCTGTAACTTATTTTAGTCACGATATGGCTGTAATATTGCCAAAGTGACTTTAAATTTTAACTCACTCACTCTATACCGAAACGTTGCATCCATTGCAATAACATGAGTGAGTGGGTAATGATTTACACCGCTTTTAGCAAAATTCCAGCAATATCACGACTGGGGACACCAGAAATGGGCTTCACACATTGTACCCATGTGGGGAATTGAACCGGGGCCTTCGCCGTGACGAGCATACGCCTTACCCTCTGGGTTACTCCACCACCCTCATTACAATAAAGAAGTTGTTTATCCATAAATAATGTTCCTCTTCATCATACCAGCTTCAAAATACCACTTAAAGAAGTAAAAACCTTAGACCAATCAAAAAAGGGTAAAAAGAAATAACTTTTTAATAAGCAAGAGCACAACTTAGTTCCCCGCTCTGTATCTGAAAACGGTCAACATCCTATATAATATATATTGATGCCATGATTATCCATGTGCATGAAGGTTCGTTGAGATATTTTGTACCCAAGAAGAAAAGGGTTCACCATTCCTCGCCGACGTGTCGAAATATACCAGTGTGTATGAACAAGTTTAGACTAACAACTAGTCTCTGAAATGAACATATTTTACAGATAAAACAGTCGATAATATATGTATTATATACTTTCATTCAAACGTTTAGACTCACTAGTGTAAATATAGCCACTTATAATACTTCATCAGGCAACTGTTATTGCCGATGTGACTTTAAATAATAACTCACTCACTCACTAAGGCAACTGTTCTAAACTAAATTTTGCACGATATTCCATACTATTTAAAGGTACTGTTAACACATGAACTGATGTATTGTAAAACAAATTCGTAACGTTAAAAAGAATAACATATAGTGAGTGTTTTAAGTGAGTATAAACTTTCGAAAGGAAGTATATAATGAAAAGGGGCCCTGAGACCTGAAACTGTGGAAATCTAGACTTGCCACATATTCTAGACTTGCATGGACTTTTTGGGATATAAATGTTTAAGAGTCTGTATGTCAGACAAGTTCGGCTGCACCATCGAAGCTTTGCAGTGTCCTCCCCTTCTTATCTCTTCTAAAGCCGAATATTTCTCATACCCTGTTTTTTACCCAAGAAGAAAAGGGTTCACCATTCCCCGCCGAAGTGTAGAAAATAGACCTGTGTGTATGAACAAGTTTGGTTGCACCATCAAAGCTTTGTAGTGTCCTCTCCCTCTGATCTCCTCTAAAGCCATATCTTTCCCATACCCTTTTTTACAGGTAACCTCTTTAAGGTGCTTCACTATACTCCTTGCGCCATCTTGAGGAAAGAACATAGCTTGGGTGCAGCATGATGCTGCCGGGGTCACTTGGTACATGTGGGCTGAAAACCTGCGCAGTTCTATCAAATTCACACGACCAATTGCCAAAGCACCCAGGGAAAAATATAAGGCACTCAATATCCACAACAATCGTACATCTGAGTCACTTTCCTTAAATAGGTACAAACAAACAGGAACGACTAATATTGTTCCAAACACGGCACCTAAAGCAAACATTTCAGGAAGCCTCTCCAGTTGTAAACTCAAATATCCTAGCAACCGTTCCGGATGATAAAACTTAATAAAAGTCACATTATTAGTCTTTTGGTTTTCTTCGGGATATGAAATGACTTTCTCCAGGACTAGAAACAAATCCTTATGTGGGTAGGAATCGTCTTCAATCATAAATACATTGGACGCATTTCGTTTTAGTGTTTCCTCGATGCAATAAATATAATCCATTTTTTCCTTTTCAAAAATATCAACAAACTTTGCCTGCTTTCCTTTAAATTTCTGAAATGTTGTAAAAGTTGGATTCAATGACGTTGCTTCACGATAGCTATCCGGATGACCGTCGACATTGCACAAAAATATTCCGTATTTCAGTTCCGTGTTGGTTATATTTATTAGATCAACCAAACGACCTAGAACTTGAGTCAGATGCCGTGGTTGATAACCTCCCTCGTATTTTCGGTTCCTCGAGACCGTCACAACAGTAATTCCAACGTCTATATGTTCTGAATGTAACAAAGGAGGTGATTTGTTGCTTTTTGATAATAAATCTGCGTACATCTGTACGATTGGTTCATTTTTAGCCAATCGTTCGTCGTTCTCGCGTCGCAAACGTCTTTCCTCTTGATTGCTGCTCCTAGACCGGAAGTTGTAGACGGAGTGACGAAGATCACAACAAAGAAGCGGCAGAACGAGGAAGAATGTTATCCCGTACAGGAGGAAGTAGAATCGGATGACCTGAAACCGCCTCTGACATAAGAACGCTCTACATTTCTTGAACAACCTGAAACGAAAATATAGTTTGGTTTAATGTTATTCATGTACAACCATATATTTGTTTCCAGAATGCCTCTATCATGTTGTTGTGTTCCATTGTCAGAAAACGACATATTTTATTAAATCAATGCACCCATCCCCGAGGTATTGTTGTATTGTAACATGTTGTATATAACGCCAAACATTTAACTGACAAAGAATAATATGATTTCAGCTAATACAGTTATCTTAACCCTTGAAATAACACGCCTTAAAAGGTTGAATAAACTGTCGGAGGGCAACAAGATTTGAAATCTCATACAACAAATGAAGCTTGTTAAATAAAATAATTAGCTCATGTGTGTGGTAATGCAAACAATCTGGAGCATCATGTGTCCATCTTCACAACACAAAGGAGGTAACTGACCAGTTTCCACCCTTTGCCAAACAAGGCTTGAATTACGAAGTAACATGTGTTATATTTGGGATTACACTTTCTTAGTAAGTACACATTCTCGTACTTATGTTGGGTTGAACCCCTCCGGGATTCGAACCCACACCCTCAGACTCAGGCACCTAATCGCCAGCACACAAAGTCAGCCGCCAAACCCGCTCAGCCACCACAGCTTCCACGCGGAAGGTCTAATCAAAATCATGAAATAAAATGAACAATCGTTTTAAGTGAGTCAGCTTAAATTTAAGCCGCTTTTAGCAATTTTCCACCAATATCACAGTGGGGGACACCAAAAATAGGCTTCACTAATTGTACACATGAGGGAAATCACGACTACTTCTACTACTACTACTACTACTACTACTACTACTACTACTGCAACCAGTACTACTACGCGCACACTTACTGCAACCACTACTACTGTTCCTAGCTATTACTACTACTAACACAAATACTTCTACTACTACTACTACTACTACTACTACTACTACTACTACTACACTGCTGCTGCTACTACTACTAACACAATCAGTACAAATACACGCACACCTACTGCAACTACTACAACTGTAACCACAGCTACTTCTACTACTACAGACAACTACTGCAACTACAACGTCTTATACTACTGCAACGATATACTGCTTTGAGGTCGTTCGGTACGTCCCGGACACGAGTGGTCACGACTGGGACAACATGTTTGTTTGTCGAGCATCAACAATTCCGTTGTCTCAAGCAGCCGTTTTCCCTTAGTCAATACGCGGCTCATTGGGACAGAGTTTTTAAACAAGAACATAAGTGATCCGTTTGAATCGAGTTTACGACCTGCAGTTATTTTTAGATTTCAAAATCAGGTTTTCAAATAAATCATAAGTGGATATTGAAATGATATCACGACTTCAAAATCAGCAGGGGCGGATACAGCTTTTTAAGAAAGGGGGTGTACACACACTTCAGAAAGAGGGGGGGTTGCACACTTCATTTTCACCCGTTTTCACGAGAGTTTCAATGGTCAATTAATAAACTTTCAGGACAATAGGAGGGTGCGCACCTCCGCAATCCCAAACCCCAACCCCCACCCCACCCCCAACCTTTCGCCCATTCTGGATCCGCGTGTGATCAGGTTTTAAAATAAATTATAATTGGCTCACAAGGCAAGCTAAATGCATAATTTATTCTGAAATTGTGTAACAAGTCAGATCAATATTTCTGAGAAAACAAGGCAGGTTTTGTAAGGCTGAAAATGATGCTGTCACAAACAGAGAAAAACAAGTAAAGGGAATAACAAGCTGGCTTTTCGGAAAACATCTAACTTGGAGTAAGTACGTGACTCCTGCCATACCTGTCACACCTGTTGTCTGTCATACCTGTCACAGATGAGAAACTCTGCGTTGTTCTAATACTTCCACAAGTTCCACTGAAGGGGTCGTTGTCGGCACAGGTACTACAGATGTGTACCCCAGTACGTTTCTGTATACAGAAATGTACCCAAAACAAAATCAAAATTCAGAAACGTACCCGGTACCCTCAACGGCGGACGAGTCCATATACTGCAACCCCAAACCGAAGCCGTATGTAGGTGCATCGCGAAATATTTGTTGTTGTGTGTGCTCGTTTCTTATAGAACACAATCAATTGTATCTAATACAAAAGTATGACAGTTCCGATCAAGAAAACGGCACAATGCGGAATAGACCCGTCCTAGGGTTCGTTTCTGTATTCAGATTTTGGATAGGGTTACCTGGGGTACAAATATGTACTATCTGTGCCGACAACGTCCCCTTCAACACAAGTTGTACCACAACAAACATTGTTGAATAGATCTTACTCACGAAAGCCTTACATGTACATTTGATGTTGCTAATATTTTCAAAATGCAAGCGTTGAAATTACTCAAATTAAAATTTCGACAGGCTATACTCACTTCGCTCCCATGCTTACATTTCCCTCAACGATCGTCGGTTCAGTTCGGAGCTTAATTTCACTCGGACTTACATCTTCCGGCTTGTCATCACACTCGTGTCACGTGACACGACAATCGGCATATCACGGCTTGTGTCAACAATGCTGCGCTTACAACCTTCCACAATTGATTTACAGTTTTGATAAAATACATGCACGACACGTTATGGTTTGAACTTTTATGCACATTTGAACTTAGCCCGGGCGGGGGGAGAAAGGAGAGGTGTGGTGTGGTGTTTCAGTGCATTTGTGAAATGACGCTTTTCATATGTTGCCAAGTGAATCGTTGCATACATTGCCTACAACGAAAAGACTTGTTCAGTGATATAACGACAGGTACCTTATTCCAGGAATGTATCTATTTATATTGACTTAAGTAACAACATCCCACCCGTCTGCTGCTGGGACTAGGCAAGTCACATCTGTTAATAGGGGAGGGTAATAAACAATACCCCATCGATCTGCCGATGACAACGTGCGCTCGTCACGCTGAAGACCCGGGTTCGATTCCCCGTTCGGGCACGATGTGTAAGCCCATTTCTGGTGTCCCCCGCCGTAATATTGCTGGAAGTTAAGTTTAGTTTTACGCCGCTTTCAGCAATATTCCGGCAATATCACGACGGGGGACACCAGAAAGAGGGGAATCGAAACCGGGTCTTTGGCGTGACGAGCGAACGCCTTAACCACTAGTCTACCCCATTGCCCCCAATGTTGAAGAAAGAACGTGTATGTATTTGTTGTGTAGTAAGGTTATTAACTGTTTATACATATTTAATCACAGCAATGACAAAAGCGGGATGATTTAGCTTATGGCTAAGAAAACAGATGTTTGTTCTTAATAATGTAACGGTAAATAACAAGTACATACCTTTACCGTGTATTAGAGTTTTTAATTTTATGTACATATTTACCCAGGTGGATTGTTTGAGAAGCTGGGATGCCTAATTAAATCAGACTAGAATCATCATGGATATTTCCAGATAGCGGCATCTGATGGGCATTTTCCGCTCGGTTTGTTGTTTGTTCAGGTTGATGATGCGCTCCATGCGGTATGGGTAAATGTATGGAATCCTGGAAGGGACATTGTCGCGTTGTCGCACTAACAAAAACAAGCAAAAAGAGATAAAATTAACCAAAGTGCGACAACGCGACATTTTGGCCATATGTCGCAATGTCGCATTGTCGCGCTTTGAATCATATTATTATATTCCTCCAAAGGGCAAGAATGCCACATAGCCACATAGCGACAATTCTCAAAATCTTAATATGTCGCGTTATCGCATTGTCGCCCCATCTAAGATGTGAAAAAAAAGACTTAAAATGGGCCACAACGCGGCATAATAAATATGTTGCAGTGTTGCCTTGTCGCATTCTCTCCCTTTTGGAGAAATAAAGAATATTATGCGACATATGACCAAAATGTCGCGTTGTCGCATTGTCGGGGTTTGGTTAATTTTAAACTCTTCATGGGTTTTTTTGTGAGGGCGACAACGCGACAATGTCCCTTCTAGGATTCCATATAGGTGAGTGTCAACATTTCCGGCAAATGGTCTTACGACAGCCAATGAAACCAAGACAGTGTTAGACGGCCGAGGTGAAGCCAAAGATCAATGCCCCTTTAAACAGCTCTCCGTGCGAATTTCTTTTCCTTCTTTTGAGGTCATCGAGCCCATCGAACCCAGCGTTCGGGCCATTGTTTAAAGTTCAAAGGGTGTTGGTATATTTATTTAATAGATGACGAAAACATGCCGAGGAGGTTCAGGGTCATTTGGTCAATACTTTAAAGATTTCAACGGAATTTGCTCTCAGAGAGCAATCTTTTGCGTTTTGGAGTTTGTTTCTACATTTTTCAGGAAACTGGGTGTGATAATTTCATAATACCGTAGTGAAAGTTAATAAGTAAGTAAATTAAATGATGACTTGATTTATTTGAATTGACTGGGAATATTGATGTTGGTAACGGTTTATATAAACAAGCTGCTGTTTTTGACAGGGTAGGGGGTTTAGGATGTTGGAAGCGGTTTACACAAGTTACAGGTAGATTGGGTATTAAGATGTTGGAAGCGGTTTACACAAGTTACAGGTAGATTGGGTATTAGGATGTTGGAACGGTTTATACAAGTTACAGGTAGATTGAGTATTAGGATGTTGGAATAGGATGTTTGAACGGTTTATACAAGTTACAGGTAGATTGGGTATTAGGATGTTGGAACGGTTTATACAAGTTACAGGTAGATTGGGTATTAGGATGTTTGGAAGCGGTTTTACACAAGTTACAGGTAGATTGGGTATTAGGATGTTGGAACGGTTTATACAAGTTACAGGTAGATTGGGTATTAGGTTGTTGGAATGGTTTACACAATTTGCTGTTTTTTGACAGGGTATGGGGTTTAGGATGTTGGAAGCGGTGTATACAAGTTGTTGGTTTAGACAGGTAGTATGGGTGTTAGGATGTTGGTAACGGTTTATACAAGTTGTTGGTTTATACAGATAGTCTGGGTATTGTGAAGTTGGTAAGGGTTTATACAGGTTGTTGGTTTACACGAGGGTTGGTTCAGACACGTAGTCTGGGTGTTAGGATGTTGGTAACGGTTTATACAAGTTATTGGTTTACACAAGGGTTGGTCCAGACACGTAGTCGGAGTTGTATTATGAACGGTTTATACAAGTTGTTGGTTTATACGAGGTTGTTCCAGACACGTAGTCGGAGATGTATTGTGTAGGTAAGGGTTTATACAGGTTGTTGGTTTACACGAGGGTTGGTCCAGACACGTAGTCGGAGTTGTATTATGTAGGTAACGGTTTATACAAGTTGTTGGTTTACACGACGGTTCATCCAGACACGTAGTCGGAGATGTATTATGTAGGTAACGGTTTATACAAGTTGTTGGTTTACACGAGGGTTGGTCCAGACACGTAGTCGGAGTTGTATTATGTAGGTAACGGTTTATACAGGTTGTTGGTTTACACGAGGGTTGGTCCAGACACGTAGTCGGAGTTGTATTATGTAGGTAACGGTTTATACAAGTTGTTGGTTTACACGACGGTTCGTTCAGACACGTAGTAGTCAGGTAAGATGCTTACTTTACACGACGGTTCGTTCAGACACGTAGTCGGAGATGTATTAAGCAGGTAACGGTTTATACAAGTTGTTGGTTTACACGAGGGCTGGTTCAGACACGGAGTTGTATTATGTAGGCATCGGTTTATACAAGTTGTTGGTTTACACGAGGGCTGGTTAGACACGTATTCCTTTTTATCTAGTCCTTTGTCTCAGGTAACATTCTACACCTCCATCACTGCCCACATCGCCAGCCTCATCATCAGCTTCTGAATACCCTATACTATATATGTATGCCGTGTAGGAGCATTAGGTAAAGTTACTGGAGCATGCATTAGATGTAGTTTACTCTGTGCATCTATATGAAACGTCGCTGCAATGGTTAAGCCCATTTCTGGTGTCCCCCGCCGTGATATTGCTGGAATATTGCTAAAAGCGGCGTAAAACTAAACTCAGTCAGTCAGTCAGTCGCTGCAATGGTATATTACAGTTTTAGCCATAGCCTGAGTCTACTCTCTCATTCACAGCAATACAGCTATATGGCGGCGGTCAATCGAGTCTGACCAGACAATCCAGTGATCAACAGCATGATCGTTTAGGAACCGATGACACGTGTTTACGCCGCAGTCGCCTCATTCAGCAATATTCCAGCTATATGGCGGCGGTCTGTAAATAATCGAGTCTGGACCAGACAATCCAGTGATCAACAGCATGAGCATCGATCTGCGCAATTAGGAACCGATGACATGTGTCAACCAAGCCAGCGAGCCTGACCACCCGATCCCGTTAGTCGCCTCTTACGACAAGCATGGGTTACTGAAGACCAATTCTAATCAGGATCTTCATGGTTTGGTCTGGGTATGAGGGGGAGAAGTGTTTTGCAGAACTCCCTGAAACTCTCCTCTAAGCAGCATGCCTCCTCGAGTGAATAGAGAGTGAGTATTGATTTACGCCGCTTTTAGCAATATTCCAGCAATATCCCGGCGGGGGGTAACATAAATTGGCCTCGGGTGAATACACCATGGCACAATCACGCACTACTGATCTAAAGAATTGAATTTTCTACGAAAGCCTTCTAG